GGAGGTTTCGACTTTGACACGTGCAGTGCTCATGTTTATTCAACGAACTCAAAGCCTTTTGGAGAATCTATTTGTGGTGGTGAGTTTTGATATTGTGGCGGGCGCCTCAAATACTCAGTGCTTTTATGAAGAGAACGCATCTGCGCACCTTGCGGATAGCGCATCAAGAACCGGGTTGACCGGGTATCACCGGTACTTAAAAAAACCTGGTACCGTAACGTTTTCATTTTTTTAGTACCGACTTGGTACTGAAGTACCGGGTCTTTTGACGACACTATAAGTGAGTCATTGCAATTGCAGGGCTCTACAGTGCGACCATTTCAGTGGCATTTGCGACTGAAAACTACTGCGTGCGACTATGACATTTTTTTTAGGAGCACCAGTGCGACTGACCCGATCATCATCACACTTGTGATTGCGCTCAGGGGAGCTTCAACGAAAAGTAAGCGTAGAGCCCTGGATTGAACTGAATCATTTAAACGCTTGATTCATTCAGGAACGAAACACCATCATGTTGCTCCGAGACGCAAAACAGCGCTGTGGCTGTGTTTGGAATAATTTTTGTTGTCGAAATAGCGCAAAAACAGGCAATATGGTGTCTAAATCGTAAGTCTCTTAATTGACCGTTCACAAAGAGCTTGATTGACAGGCGATCTGACCAATCTACGACAGGTCCTTTACTGCAAAAAGACGGTCACTGCGACACTCTATATGAAACTATGGTGCCGCAGCTGTATCCCTGTACATAAACTGTGTTTACTGTTTGAATTTCTTTTAAAATGACAAAATTTGAAAACCGAGAGTCCTGAGACCTTGTTTCATATCAGAAGTAACCTGCTAACCTGTTTCCTCTTTGCTCTGCGATGTATTTTTCACTGCGTGAGAACATGTGTGTGTAGACCTTTAAATAATGTTAAAACGTGTGCTCTTATCAATCTGAGGACAAAATCCCGTGAAATTGGCCCAGATCGGAAGCTGTATGCACATGTGCGCTCATCAGTTTTCAATGCAGCTAACCTCGCGTCGCTTCATGTCATCTTCCCACTCATTAATCTACGACAGGTCCTTTACTGCAAAAAGACGGTCACTGCGACACTCTATATGAAACTATGGTGCCGCAGCTGTATCCCTGTACATAAACTGTGTTTACTGTTTGAATTTCTTTTAAAATGACAAAATTTGAAAACCGAGAGTCCTGAGACCTTGTTTCATATCAGAAGTAACCTGCTAACCTGTTTCCTCTTTGCTCTGCGATGTATTTTTCACTGCGTGAGAACATGTGTGTGTAGTGTGAGCGGTGTTGTTTGTCAGGGATAGCAACAGTAACTAAGGAGGGCGGGTCTTTGCGAACGGTCAATTAACTTCTTGTTTATTGAACTGTTGTAAAAAATCAATATCACATTTGTAATCATGGTCAGTTTTGGAGAAAAACGGCACTCTTCGTGTGAAATTGATTAACTATTTGAAGTGGTATAAATATATACATTTTCTGCCCCCATGTCTTAAATTTGTGATTCTAAATGCATTTAAAAATTTATTTTTGTTGCAGAAGACAATTTGTGCAATTGTTTTCACTAAATAGCTGCACGGTTTGTTGTTGTTCATACTCAGATTGAAAATATATTTCTCTGAAAAAAAGTCACTTTTTTACTGTGTTTTGTTATTATATAACACTGTTTCCATTTTCTTTACTCCCTAAATGTTTTTTAGACACATCTATATTGTTAGTAAACTAAATAGACCTGTTTTTCACTGAAAAGCGCCTA